ATATTATGAATGAATTTCTTCAACAAGCAGAACTAAATCTTATTCCTGAAGATGGAATTAACAACGCAGTTAAAAAATTCTTGGAAAACGAAGACAAGAACATTATGAATCAGTATATCAAAAATGAAATATCGCAAGAAACCAAGATGTTTTTAGACATGGACATTGATGACGAAACGTTTCATGATGATGATCAGGATTCAAAGAAAGTTTTCAAATCTCTTTTGGCACAGATTAAGAGAGATAATACACCACAAGCAGAAATAAACACATGGTCAGATAAAGATGATCTGACATTGAGAAAAGACAAGCCTAGAGGTAAAAAACATGTAAGTGAGGCTATAATAATATCCGATAGTGAATCGGATCCTGAAATAGATTTAACTAAAACTAAGAAAAAGGGCCCTAAAAGAAAATCTGCTACTCGCCGCCCAAAAGATGAAATAATAGTTAGCGATGAATACGACAGTGGTAATGACCCTAGCGATATAATTAAATCTAGTGATGATGGGATAGCCAGTGATGATGGGATAGCCAGCGATGATAGTTTTACTGTCTCTAAACCTTCTACTCGGAAGCCTGAAAAACGATCTGTTAATACTACTTCACAAAGAGGAGGCAGATCAACACGGGGAAGAACAAGAAAGAGTCAGCCTAAGGGAAAAGGTTCAAATGAAACCAAATCATCCAAACAACCTCCAGAATCTAGATCCTTATTAGATGACATTATGAGCATGGGAAGCTAATATTACGAAAGTATTGAAGTATGTATAGACTAATGTATGTACAATTTTTCTAATCTATAGAAGCTGCTTCTGCGATTAATTCATCCATGTTGAAATCAGCATTACCTCTTGTGAAATCTCTCAACAAACCTAATTTCTTTTCATTCCCTTTAGCGCTGGCAATTCCCCCGTAGAAACGTTGGACGTTCAAAACTAATAACTGAGCTTCATCCATGGTTAACGATGATTCCTTTTCGACTTGACCATTCATGAGAACCACATCTTTAGTGTCACTCAATTCCTGATGGAACATTAAAGTAGTATGAGGCTTTGCGTATTCCTTGTGTAACTTGTATTCAGCAACAGTAGTTAACATACAATGTGTGGTTTTTGGACCAATAAAGGACCATTGAACAAAGTGCATTTCATAGCCATCCTCATTCTTAGGTAATGGTAAGATAAAGCTTGGGTTTTTGAATGCGTTCGCATACATTGAAGCAAATTGCATATTATTCAAAACGGCCACCATGGTACGTTCAATATTCTGAAATCTGGCTCTCCAAATAAACTCCAATTCCTTCAACGGTAAATCCTTGACTTTTTCAACATCCACAAACGAATCTAAAACTTTATATGGTGCCTGTGGTTTATTTTTATCAATTGGAGATCTTACTTTAATTGTTTTATCATTATTTTTCAGAATTTCTAAAGCTTGTCTTCTTTCATATTCTTCTAATTCTTTCAATGGATCAATGGCGGTAAATTCCTTCTTCTTCTTTTCAATATCATCTTTCAATTTCTCCTTTAATTCGTCAACATCTTTCAATCCTAAAGCATTAGCCTTCTCATTTAATTTGTCTCTATATTTTTGAAGAACAATATCTTTTGCATTTGAAGAATTAAATCTAATAAACCTATTATTCTTAACCAAGAACTTAGAACCCCTAAACGAGATTCTACTTGCTATTTTGTTAACTATCATTGGTGCAATCTAGAAGAAATCTTTTTCAATCTTCAATATTGTTCGCTTTTCTGTCTCTCTTTTCAATATCAAAATCGAGAACCAATAATTCTATTCTGTGAATGCTCCAGTACATATATTCTGAGGTATTATATAATAAATAGTATATTTAGGTGTCGTGTATAATTTGTTTTTGCTACTTTATATATCCTATAATATGTCCAAAAGCTTCAGGAAAGGTATGGGAAAATTTCAAGATACTTATGGACAAAGTTGGCCATTTATCAAATGTCTTATCCAAACATGTTCTAGTAGTACCTATACTTTCTTATCAGAAATACCCGGTATTTCAGGATTATCTCCTTCGCTCATACCATTTATTTTTTTCTTGTATTCCTCTGGGGCATCTTTGGCATGATGGCCAATCGTCTCTCTTAAACTCTCTGGAATATCATTAAACGCTAAATCTTCGGTCCCGGTAGCTACAGACTCTCCTTTCGCCTTGAGTACTTCCTCTAAACTGAACTTGTTGTCTTTAAATATCTTTAAGTTGTCTGCTATTAAATGACGGTTTTTGCACCCTGGACATTGAATCAACACGGTTCCTTTTTGGTAGGATTGCTTTGAAAACGTATGAGACGACCTGGTATCACACTTTTTACATGTAAATGCGATCATAAGTTGTGGATCATCAACTTTTATCGATGCTGTATTAGAATTGCCATTTTTCAGATCCGATGATGAAAAACGCATACTGTTAACTTGCGATGGAATGGCGACCCTGTTGCAAGAAATTGTTCGATACGCAACAGCAGACCTCGAGAGAGGTCCCAACCTCCTTGTAAATACTCTTAAACTTCTGTTGATCATGTTTAATCTATATTGTTCTTGTAGTCTTCTATAGAGAAACTTCTGTTCACGATTTCTAATCTAAATAGGTAACCTGCATTTAATAATAACCTGTAAACGTATAGCCATTTTGATTTGGGCAATAATGTACTATTCGTATTCATTCATTCTAGACTGGAGACTGAGTGTATTCTATACAGATGTATAAACTGTGAATATGTATATCTATGTTTTAAACAAGAGTTTATCTTGTTTTTTCTTTAATTTCAGCTTTCTCTTATCTGTAATCAACTCTTCAAACATATCTTCCGATTGAGGACTTTGTGGAGTAGAAGACGTTCCCCATTGGGTTGGATCAACATTGACCAGCTTCACCCTTGGGAAAACTTTCTTAGTCGACTTCTTTTCCAAGGCTGGGAATTTCGATTCCGACAAACTCAGGGTGCTGGCAGAGTTGGTATTACTCCTTGCAAACATTGGATTCGGCAGATGAGACCTAGATTGGCCCAATGAAGGTAATGAAGAAGCAGAAGAGTTTTTGTCCTTCAAATTACTAAGATAATTGGGCTTATAATTTGGGTCTGCTCCCTGATTGATAGTCATAGGGCTGGTTTTGTTGTCGACCTTTTTCAACACCTTCGTATATCTAATCGGTTGGTTGGCATTGACCTGTGGCGTGGTAGACTTCTTTGGCTTTGAAAGAGTCGGGAAGTTGTCGGCACCAACCTTTCTGTTACCGTTACCCCAGGAATGGATGTTTGCAGTCGAGCTTGGAGAAGAATAGCCTCCCAACACCGGATACTGTTCTGCTTCAGAGGCAATGTGTAATTCATTTGAAATACTTTTCAAATTCTTGTGTTGTTCAGAATTCTTTGGAAAAACTTCAGATAATTCATAAATTAACATGCTGAGTTCCGATTTGTCTCTTTTATCAAACAATTTTTGGTATTCTTTTAGAACTTCCTTAGCAGTAATGTTTCCCGATTTATAGGCAGTATTAATCTTTAAAAACTCGTTTATACTCGAAGTATTATAATGCAAATAATGCTTGGCTCTCTCCTCTAACCTCATCTTTTTGGTATCGTATGAATCAACTTCTTCGTTTGAGTCATTATTATTTCTATTTCTTCTCCTCGATTGTCCTGCTGTTGATGGTGCACCAACAGATCCATTAAATGTAGATAAAAGAGATTGGAATTGATTATTACTGCTTCCCACAATAACTTTCCCGTTTGAACCCGTAAGTCCACCATGCTCCTTAAGCATATGCGACGTTAATTCTAAGTCTTCTCTAAACACGATAAACTTTTTATCAAGACAACTTGGAACCGTACATACATAATGATCCATCCTGAAATGGGTATATAATTCGTCGTAGTTTTTATAATAGTCTGCCGTTTTAGGAGATACCTGGTCACAAATATGACATCTTTCATGCTTATCTCGGATATGGATATTCAACTCGTCTTCGGAGTAAAACCTTAAACCTCGACAATGCTTACATTCGGGATGTCCGTCAAACCCTTCTTCGTCTCCCTCAGACTGATGTCTCTGTAACTGTTTATACGTGTATAAGGTCAATTCACATAAAAATGCCTTCTTATTCTTCGAACATATTAGACAATAATACTTATTATGCTCTGCTTTGACGTGCTCAGAAAGGGCCTTGAATCCCAGAAACTTTTCATGACATCCACTCACGTAACACTTATAGTCCAATAACCCCAACGTATCATTATAGACATATTCGGCAGTGAAATCAATATTATATTTTGAATGGGACTTCACAATATCGTTTGCTCCAAAATCTGTAAATACCTTCTCTATTTGTTCCGAGAATATGACTCTTTCGTTATCTGACCTACATACTAAACATAAAGTTTTTCCATACAATGCTCTATGTCTGAAGGTACACATATGACATGTCGTATGGTTACATGGTGGTATTGATGCATAATGTATCCTATTAGCACAAATTATACATTGTTCGTCTTCATCAAGTTCTTCTTCTTCTTTAGACTCTGTTCCGTCTGGGTTTCTAGGATTTTTTTTCCATCCTTTTCGATTCTTTTGTTGGGGATTATCACCCCTGTTCACTCGAGACTTCTTGGGAATTTCTGTCATTTGAGCGGTCTTCTATCAAAGGATTTAGCTCGAAATACCGTCTAAATACGGGAATACTAACTTATTTTCACCTGTCAGCAGCACCTTCACTAAGAGATAAACTTACCCGGAATTTGAAAATTTCAACATCAATTTCACAGCTATTTACATTAGATAAGAACTAGATCAGAGGATAGAACTAGCTAATTGCTTTAAGTGTCTAGAAATCTTAGACAAATAGCATTCTTTTTACTTGAATTATTTATTTCTTAAAAAAAATCGACATTCGTTTATAAATTATCAGACAAATAGGTGTATAAGTACCTTCCAACAATATCAATAACAAGACAGAAAATTCTAATATGTTTAACGTCAGTGCTACTGTAAATGTATCTCGTTTGATGTATAATCCCAGACTTTGTTTACCCCATCTTACAGTCAAATCTTTTGATAAATTAACAATTCCATTCGAAATTCCTGGGCATGATGGTGTGCAGATTAAAGGTGTTGTTATAGACAAAGACAATTGTTTTGCAAAAGACCACGATGATAAGGTCTGGCCGGCATATTCCGTATGTTACAACTTTTTTTTCAATCGTAATTAGTGCTGAATTCTAACTAAATATAGGAAACGTGGAAACGGCTAACAGAAGCGTATCCTGCAGAGCATTTGCTTATTGTGAGTAACTCTGCGGGCACTAATGATGATATCAATTACACGCAAGCTTCCAAATTAGAAAGGGATACTGGAGTTACAGTGTTGAGACATCCTACGAAAAAACCTGGGTGTCATGAAGAAATACGAGACTACTTTAAGAAGCTAGGCATAACTGAAGCTAGTGAAATTGTAGTCATCGGAGACAGGTTATTTACTGATATGCTCATGGCCAATATGATGGGCTCTTGGGGGATTTGGCTCAGTGAAGGTGTTGAATTGTCACAGAAGATTTTTCCAAAATTCGAGAGAAATTTATATAATAGGTTAGTTACGCTGAAAAAACAACCAAATCAGCCACCCACTCCATCTCTGAAACAATAAGGATTGTCATTTAGAGCATAAGTGTTTATAACTAGATCTAGATATAAAATTTTCAAATTGGCAATTTGTGCTCAATCATGTTTGTGTATATTTTGCAGCAAATAAATTCATACTTAATCCTGAAGATTTCTTATCTCTAGTGTATAGCATAAGTGAATATTTCATACCATGAACAACTTGCAAAGACATAGTATCTTATTTGATGCTCCTGTTGGAAATAATCCAATTTACCTAGGTCAGGGTAATATGATTGAGAATATTAATGTCATCTACAATCCTAAAATAATCAGAACGTTTCTACAATCATATATGGTGGTCTTGATTTTCCAGTATATTGCATGCTTTTCCTCTGCTCCATTTGATAATGTTGAAAATAGGCCGTCTATATCGGTCTTGTCAAGCATCTACTCGCTCTTTATGGTATGTTCGAACTTAAAATTTTGAATTTCTTGCTTCAACGGCTTTCTAACTTTTATAAACCAGTTTTGTATATGTGCTTGTCTTTTGCCCTTTGCGTCTTTAACAATTCCCAACATTGCGTCTTACAAATATCTTATTATTTCAGCAATCTTACAGTTTGTGGGTTGCATACTTTCACTTGTTTCGGCTATAAAATGCTTAAGTGTTGGCAAAATGTACCTGTATGACTATGACAGCACTGTAGGCACTACAGTCAAAACAGATGTAACAACGTATATTCAAGTAATGGCATGTATCTCCCTAACTATCAGCTCCTTGGGGCTATTTTTATCGTTACTCAATACTGTGTTGGCTTCAAACTCATTGAAGAACTTGAATAATAAAATCAATAGAAGAACATTGGGAAAACATGTGAGGACTATGAATGATGATTTGCCTAGAAATCTCGTAACAGAACAAATAAAGTCATATATGCCATAAACATTTACGTAACTTAATAGATAACTTTTATTCAAATAAATAAAAAATAAATTAATAGTCTATACTTTAACTTATAATATAATAAAACAAATATAATATACAGAAAACACAGAAAACAACATAAAGACCACTCCTAGAAGTAGGCCATCCATAAAGTATCTGCAGCTGCCAAATTACGAGGATTGACAGCTTGAGAAATTAGCTCCAAAACATTTTGGGTACTAATAGTTGGACCAGAAGAAATATGGCCCATTGATAGAACACGTTTGATAACAAGATCCACGTTAACACGAACAATTTCTCTCAATTGACTATCTTGAGGAATTGGACGCGGTGGGTCTTGTTGAGTACACCAGGAAATTACTTCATCCCTAACGAATAATGTTAAGTATTGTTCTAAATCAGACTCAGGTTCGGTAATAGCCCTAGCTATTGCCAATAGATAAACAGATAAAATACCTTCCAATCCTGTTTCACCAATCAACTTTTGAATGTTAGGTGTCAAACGGAATGGCACCATTTCCGCATTATAAAATAGTGGTGCAGGTCTGCCACCTTGGGAACCATCTAATGATGCATTCTTACTGGCGATTTTACAGGGTAACATGTCAGAAGTCCAAACGATACCAGAGCCCTTATTGACATGAATTTTTTGAGGCTGTCTGGTGTTAACACACATCATATAAGTAGTGAAAATAAATGAAGCATATTGAGATGTAAATTGTTTACGGAATAACCAGAAGTCCTCAAACTGTGGGTAGAGGTCAACAAAATAGTTCTTCAAAACAGTAGATGGAACCAACAATGATTGAATTGCGCTTAATATTTCCACTCGGATACTCATAATATCAGGCTTTGGTAAACGAGGATCGAAAGCTGCACGTAATTTTTCAATAGTGTAAACAAATGGTTCATCACGACTCTTCCCATTACGAGAGCAGAAATCTTCATAGATCCTTTGCATCGTAATATCCCTAGCATCATCACTAATTATACGAATATGTGGAGATAATGGTACAGCGACAGGTAAAGTAAACTGTATATTCCTGCGACGTGTCTCAACTTTTCTTGAAAGAGTATCACCAAATAGACGGAATAATTGGAAAATACATTCTTCACGGCGACAATGACGAGCAGCAGGAAATTGTACTGCAAATGTATGCAAACTACCATCATATCCACGTATCTTTAATCTTTTATGGCACGCATTTGTTCCACGAGCTAAGTCAATAGTAGGAAGGAACCTCTCAATCTTCACAAAGTGAGTATTATTATCCTTGTTCAACAAGTACTGGCCAGGAACTTCAATATCTTCAAATTTCTGATGATGGAACTCACTCAAATGAGGACAAAGGTTTTCAAGGTTGACTTCTGAGAACCTTCTGTCAAGCTTATCCTCTAAACGATCACGCCACTTGCGCAACTTAATGATATACGTTTCCAAATTAGGTTTCCCAATGACAAGATCCTTTTCAAATTCTGCTCTAATTTGTTTGGGAAGAACAGTTTCAGCGAATCTAGTAATATTCGCTTCAGTAACTGGAGGCAATTTAGCATCATCTCTTGGATTTCCGAGGCGATTAAGATATTGGACACCATCATTAAGTAATGCGACACCTAGTCTGTATGCATCTTCGTCTGCAGTACATTTGAATCTTTGATTGATTTGGTCAACTAATGATTCTAATGAGAGAGCTAATAATGGATATGCTGTTTTCAAAATACCCATGATCTCCTCTACATGCTCCCATGATTGGCGAGTACCACCATTTGATCCGGCTGTAGGTGGCACCGAAGGCGTAGCCTTGGGTTGTGCACCTGGTACTGTAGGTGAACCGTCACTTGTAGACGCCTTGTTTTCATCATTTGGAGCATCAGAAGATTCAGTATTTTCATCAGCCGTTGGTTTCTCTTCTTTTGGACTTTCTTTAGTTGAATTATTGGTCTCATTCGAAGTACTATTCGCATTTTGACGAGAGAGCTCCATAAATTGGCGCTGTTTAGCGGCAAAATCCTCTTTAGTTGTACGAAGTTGGAAATGTAAAGCCTGTGGATAGCTCTTTGCAATCCTTATAAGAATTTGCCTTACTAGCCTAGCTTCTTTATGGGACAACGATGTAAGCAATTGAGGGATAAAAGTTATCCAATACCACACAGGAACTTCTCCACGGAAATTATCAAAAGCCTGTGCAAGAGTGCCTGACGAGTCATCCAAACTAATAAGCCAAAGAATACGGGCAAGAAGCTTTCTGGTTTTGCCGTTCTTGTAAAGACCAGCAGCTTGTAAGTAACAACTTATTGCATTGTTTGCATAAACCATATCATTCGGATTCTCTTTGAAACGGCGATCGTTAAACATACCCCATTCGGCCCATGCTTTAGGCAAATTAAGGTCAATCTGAACAGAAGTGGCAAATGCTTTATTAGCTTCATCTTTCTGATTTAATTTGTTCAAAAACATACCCTTTAATGTGAAAAATTCTGCTTTTTGCTGAGTAGCGAAGTACACCAAGTTGGTGTTGCTGATCACATCCAAACCAGTATTCAACTCACTAGGATTTTGATAATGACATTTTACTTGCTCCTTGAGCTTCAAAAATGCTTCTTGAATTTCAATATTTGGTAGTTGATAAATTTTAGTAAGTTGATTAATACAAACATCAGACATACCATGTTTCCTTGCAACATGTGCAAAACGGTTGATGACCCAAGCTATTTCGTGAAATCCACGATAAGCATACGAATTAGCATTTCCTCCAGAATTGGATTGCTGCAAAATTGGAATAAATGGCATGTAAACTTTATTAATTACTTGGAAAGCATGTTGACGCCAAGTAACAAGATCATTCCATATATTAATATCGTCCCACGTATTAGGTAATCTTTCACGCCAAACCTGCAATACCCTTTTAAGCTCTTGTGACTTGACATCTAAGTTTTGCGCATTGGTAGAAACAAGACTAGCATAAACCTGACTTGCTTCCATAAACTCGACATACTGCTGAAACGTGTGTAATAATGGAATATGTGCACTATTAAACCTTTGAGGCAAGCCATGCCATTTCCTTAAGGCTAATTGAATACCTTCATCACACAACCTAGACAAATCTTGCAAAGTTTCCTTTTCCTGTCCAAAACCTTGCAAACAGAGGAACGTTTCAAATACTTGACGACGTGGAGTTGGAACATCCATCACGCTCTTCACTGTCTGGTCAAGCGTTTCCCTATCAGTATTCCAGTCAGCAACTCTCCAACCACATTCAAGAAGTAGATCTGAGAATCCTTCATGCTTTGCAAGCTCAGTAAGTATATCCCAATGTTGCAACTTCTCAGCACATAAGATCCAATGATCTTCCCAAAGAGAATATTCAGATTCACCGTATGGCAATGCACCACTACGTGCTTTTATCTGAGCAGTTTCATATAATTGCTGGGCTTTATCCCAAAGACCGATCTGCTCGAAAGATAACGCACTGATTGTTTCAGAATACTTTGCTCTTCTTCTCCATAAACCATAAAACATGTCATCTTCCTTCAAAGTCGCATATAATTTTGAAAGAGCATCCTGAGTAACTTCACGCACGTCGGCATTACCGTTGATAGATTGCTGTTCAATATTTTCAAGTATATGAATACCTTGAGACCAAGCATCAAAATTCGAAGCAAGACATTCAACAGCAAAAGGTGGCAATTGGAGCTTTTCACTTCTTGCAACACCATCTAATAATGACTGAACAACATTAGGCCTACTATCGATTTGACGAGTATGGTAATCTTTTGACAATAAAATAACCATAAAACGAGTAAAATCCAAGTGCTCTGAAGGTGGTATAGATTTGAGCGCAATTGGAAATATACTTGACCAAGTACGATGAATTGTATCACTACTTTGGTAAAACATATCAATCAACGGCTCAAGGATAGTACCTGCCTTGACATACGAAATTTTATCTAAGAACTCATTATGTTTCTTGAATAAATTCTCTAATGATTTTTTCTCAGATTCTACTTCCATTTTGTCATTATGTACATAAGGAAAAGCTGTTAAAGGGGGAAGCTTATTTTCATCTTCAATGAGGGTAATATTCTTATCAAAATCAAAGGAACCATAAAGCAATTGCAATGCTTGATTTAACCATGGATAATCTGCTAAATATTCCCAATTTTGTTCACGGATAACATAGTATAGTCTTTTACTTATATCTTTTTCCAAACTATTGTTTAAAATTGACATAAGTTTACGACGAATAGAAACATCCGCTGAGCGGGTTCCAACTAAAAATGGTTGCTCCATACGAACGGTCAATTCTGTACAGCTAAAGGTATCATCTTCAAATATATCTACGATTATCTGATAAAATTCCTTGGATAATGATGGTTCACCTCTAATTTCAAAAACCATCATCTTGGCTAGAATTGCTGCCTTTTCCTTCGTAGTGGGGAAGAGATCCGTTCTAGAAAAGACCCAATTTTTGACGATCTTAATGATCTTTTCAAGAGTATCCTTATCTAAAGAACGTTCAATCAACTGTGCCAATAATGACAAGAAAATACGTCTTTGGTCACCAAGGTTAGAAATTCTCATTGATGATAAGTTAAGAATCTTTTCCAATAATCTAGTAGTCATTTTTGCTTCGTATTCTGAATTAGAACCATCTTTGCTAGATGTTTGAGATCCTTGATGAGTGATAGTGATATGATCCTTGCAAAGTTTACTAAAAGTTCTCATAATCAGAGGCAAAAGCGAATCTAAGGTAGATGGCCTGTAGTTTGCCAATGTCCAAGACAATGTGACTCCAGCAGCAACAGATGGCATATCACCTAAGTCTTCAGAAACAGTTGTTGTCAACAACGAAATAAACTCCTTAATTTCGTCCTCCTCGTCCTCTTCTGATTCCGTTTTCTTTTGTTTATTAATCGCTTGAAGAATGATTCTTAAAACACATTGCAAAACTTCTTGAATATCATGATTGTCAGACTTAATACACTTTTCAAGAAGT